TGCGCATCTGAGGCGGCATTGGTGACACGTTGTCGTTATATTTGATTGATCATTTAATTAAATAATTATTTAATAATCACATTGCCTCAGTTTACAATCCTACTAGCCCTTTATTTAGACTAAAAACCCTTTTCATTCATTTGGTGAAGAACATGCGTTTTGAGCAGCATTTGCACACCCTGTCATGCTGTTGTCTATATGCCACTGCAGTGGACACATACTGCAGTATTAAGGCTAATGAATAATCGATTAATTGATATCATAATAAAATCACAATAGGACCTCTTAAAATAGCACACCCATCTGTCAAAGCACGACAGTGCAAGGTGCAGTAACGCTAATGCTTTTGTTTGAAGCGCCTATAAATATAAAGCACTCTCATGTTTAGGTATACTAAAGAATCCTGCAAGCATTATTTTCCCTTTACTTGGATTGCACAAAATAGTGATAAGTGATTTAAATGCAAATGCAGATCCCATATGCATATGGTCGTGAGTTCTTTATGACAGTTTTTCTAAAATTAGATTCTCTTCCTAAAGAAAAAGCAATATATCGCCTTTCTTACAGTATCACAATGTATAGAATCATAACCCCTGTATCGTGGTACGTATAGCATCACCAGATTCTTGCCGATTCACAGCCCTAGTATTTGTATGGCATATTGAGACTACATCAGTAATGACAGGCATTCTCGTGAGATTATTGAATCCTCTCATATGAAGCAAACACTGCTTTTCCTCTGAGGCATATGGGAAAGATTTATAGATCTCAACTTGACAACTTGAACTGGCTAAAAATAAGAAAATAGGGATGCACTGATATAAAAATTGTTCGAAAAGCATGTGATTCTCAGATTAATTGCAAAGTTTAACCATCATAGAGCAAAATTGTATCATTGCACGTGTTTTAGGTTCTGTCCGTTTTTATACATTCAAGTTTTCTGCGCGCACACACAGAGCAGCAGAAACGGCACGCGGACATCAAATTCTGTTCTCTTTCGCGTCCATTTGTGCTTGAACTGGCACATACACTTACAATGATGATAAAATGCCCGTCTCAGTGAGTATCCTCATAAGCACAGTCACATATGGCTTACGCGAATGATTGAGAAAGAAAACGGATGCATATCAGATTGGATCCGTGCATTCGCTCTTAAAGTGACAGTAGCCTAATAAACCTGCTGCTGTCTGAGTCATTAATCTAAATCAAACAACAAAATACAAAGAGAAAATTACGTTTGTAGCTTTAACAAAGATTAATTATGTAATTTATACAGTTAAGACTATGCAGTGTTATTTTACATTTGATTATTCAATTTCTGTACCTGAATACTGTTAAACTTACCTGAAAAAACAAAGCACTGTTTATTTCTTTTGTAACTTTCTTCTATTGTAATTATCTATGCTTGTAATTTGTTTATTATTTTCTATGCGGATTCACTCCCCTACAAAACCACCCCAATCGTTCTAGAATGATTCATTCTTACCAAATAGAGCTATTCAAGTAATCTGGTGAAATTGGTTTCACAATATCACAGAAAAACTAAATATTGCAATGTCAGTTTTTTCCAATATCGTGCAGCAAATTCTGATGGATAAAAAAAAGTTACCATTATTTTCTTGATAAATATCCTGTTTCCTTCAGAAATGCATCACAATATGGAAGTAAAATGGGGGGTTTCTAAAAACAACTGCATATAGCATTCAAGTTTCAGATCAGTTTGATTTGTTTTCTTAAGGTTTTTACTTTAAACATCATTACTTCAGTCTTCAGTGTCACATGATCCTTCAGAAATCATTCTAATATGCTGATTTGCTGCTCAAAAAACATTTCTTATTATTATCAATATGTTTGTGAATTGTCTTTTATTTCAATATTCGAAGATGAATAGAATGTTCAAAAGAACAGTATTTATTTGAAATGGAAATATTTTGTAACATTATAAATGTCTTTACTGTCACTTTTGATAAATATAAAGCATTATATAAAGCATGAGTCATGAGATTGGGTTCACAAGAACGAGACTAGATTTTTGCACAGTATTTTTAAGAAATCCTCAATGACAAAATTCATGGCTGGAAAAATAGTCTGCAGGTGCATTTTGAAATGTTTTAACTAATCATCTTGTAATGAATATCATGTCAGTTCTACTTTGAGTATGAATTATCATATGCATTGAAAGGCAACAATATAAAAGTACTGTAAAAGGTTTTGCCACAAACTCAACTGACTGGCTTCTCTCCTGTATGATTTCACATGAGTCTCTTCAGAACTTACTGCACATGATTTATGAGCTTCCAGAATATGTTACATCCTAACTGAACTCCTTTCCACAAATTGAACATAGAAATAAAAACAGTATAACAAAAATAAATAACAGTTAATAACCATTTTTTATTAGTCTTAAGAGCAAACAATAAGTGCAGCCATAATCAAAGTACTCTCTCAATATTCAAAGTGCAAACAGAGACCAGAACCAGAGGTGGTTACAACTACACAGCCCAGCCTAAGATAGGTTTGATTTTTTGGGCTATGTATGTAGCCTAATTTGCGCCCATCAGGGAGAGCGCGTTTTACTTTGAATTCGCGATTGCACGTTCTACAAGTTAAGACATTTAGCTTAGGCTATGTTGCGCAAGCTTAGGCTATGTTGCGCAACGAATCCTCCGCCATGGTCTTCTCACTTAACTCGTCACGTGATCAGTGAACTGTGATTCCTGCTGCACTGTGTGCGACTCTGCAGCTAGTGCTGGATGAGCAGACGGTTACAATAGTTTACAACTGAAACAATTAGGGATGCACGATGATATCGGCACAACATCGGTATCGGCCGATAAAAGCTTAAAATGACCATCATCGGCATCGGCCGATATGAATATTTCTGCCGATAGGCTGGCGTGTTTCCTATGCGCACGTGACGACCGTGAACGAAGCATGAGCGCCAGCAACTTAAACTTCCAACTAGGGGTGTGCGTCTCACGCGGTTTTTGATCATGGACGATTAAAATGTCTCCACGATCTGCTTTTGAAGAAAAATCATAGTATCGTGCATTCTATCAGTTCAATTCTGGCGCCTTCATCTCAACATACTGTACAACGCGACGTACATTCACATCACATCACATCACATGTAAACGCAGAGGTAGAGTTACACTCCCAGGACACCGCAATCCAGAAAAGTTCATTATTTGCATGTGCGTCAAAGTCTTGCTAGTTAAACATGTCATTCACGTGCTGATGCGCTGTTCTAACATGCGCTTTTCTGAGCGCGTACACGCGACGCTCACAGGAACTAAAAGCCTGTCACAGCGCCTGCATACTGGACTAATCTTTCGAGTCTTATTGCGCTGATACTGTCAAATACACACAAGGTTTACATAAACAAAGTTGGTTATGTCTAAAGTGAAAGCAAACAGAGAAAATCTGCTTGTCAAATGCGTGTATATTAGACGCGTCGCGTGCAGTTCTTAAAGAGACAGTAATAATATGCTGCCGCTTGTCCTTAAAGAGATACTGCACCCAGAAATAAACATTCTGTCATTATTTACTCACTCTAATGTTGTTCCAAACCTGTATTCATTTCTTTCTTGTGCTTAAATATACTATGGAAGTCACTGAAGTACAGCAACTGTTTGGTTAGCCACATTCTTTAATTAAAATTTTTGGGAGAACTATCCCTTTAATGTTAATAAAACAACAAAACACAGAGGAAATCACTCACTGCTCTTGACTGAGAACTTTAATAAGCTTTTTTTGCACTTAAAAAAAATACAAATATATCGGTATCGGGCAAAATTAGTTTGAAAATATCGGCATATCGAATATCGGCCAAAATCCAATATCGTGCATCTCTAGAAACAATCATTATCCAAATGAAATCAATTGTTTTTATTTATTTAAAAAAAAAAGCAAAACGACAGTGGATGTAAATGTAGCGGTGGCACATTCTATGCTAATTTCACCCTCAAGCTTCATGGCGATATCGCGAGATAGCTTTTAGGGGTGCAACGGATCAAAAAACTCACGGTTCGGATCGTTTCTCGGATCAGCAAAAATAAATTTGACTGGTTGACTTACCGAAACAGGCCAATCAGGATGCTCTCTATTTTACATGCGCACACACGCAAGGTCTCTCGCTCTCTCCCTCTCTGCCGTGCGCGCGCTACACGGTTTGAAGCACAGTATGTTCTGTCTTGCATGCGCGCTCTAGATTCCGGGAGATTTGAACTAATTTGCAGGCATCAGGGAGCTGCTATCAATATGCAGGATTTTTATAGATTAATTTTTTTATGCCAATTCAGCGCAACTCCAAAAAGGAGGACAAAATGAGTGTCCGGCTTGAGGCTGCGGGGGCTCAAGACAGGGGCTAAAATCCGGACTTTAGCCGGACGTATGGCCACCCTACTACACACGTCACGGTTTTATCCACTAACCTCTTTCCTTCATCATTTGACAGGGAAGCCAAAATGCGCCCATACAGGGGATTTAAATGACGCAGGGCGTTCAAGCTCCTCCGTTCGCCATGACCACGCTGTGTGTGGACTGAACATGCGCACAACTTTTTTTTTCATAAATCGATCTGCAGATCACGTGTGTGCCGAACCGAAGATATTGATCCGAATGGATCACGGATCAATGATGATCCGTTGCACCACTAATAGCTTTTCACCTCAACGAGAAATCTCGTCACATTTTAATATCGCGATGATTACTTTCTTTAAGAAAAAAACACCTTACTGACCCTAAACTTCTAAGCAGTGGTGTACAAAATTACTCAAGTTTCCAATTTGGCAACAGTGATACTTCTAAAACTAAACCAAAAGATAACAAATTGAAGTGGGAGGAAATAGGGACAATGAAAACGAGAGAGCAAAAAACAGGCAGCATCTTCACACTCAAATCTCGAGGGACCTCATCCCGGACACAGTCTTGAGACTGACTGGCCTCTGCCTCCATGTTTGTGTGCATCTAAGGCAGCATAAATTTCCCATTTATCGCAGAAAGGGGCGACGAGGGACTGAGGACGAGCAGCCACCGGTCAGAGTCGCCGGCCTTTGGATTGATGAACTGATGGTGACGGATGAGGGTACTAAAGAGCTGGATGTCACTCCTGTTACCAGCCAGGAACCAGTATGAATCACCCATATGAGGCTGTACGGAGCAAGAGAAAGATGCAGAGGCCAGCCCTTCCCCCCTCGGGCACACAAATACAATGAAACGCACACACAAACTCGTCATGACTTCCACAAAGCAGCAGAGCAGAACTATCATACAAAACAATGAGGTTTAAAAGAGAAGACACCAACTACCAGACAATCATCATTCTGGTCTGAGTGAAATGATGGTGATGGGACTTATAGTTATGTTGGTGCTGTTTTGAAGTGTTCTGACATTAGTCGTGATTGACTACTCTAAACAGACGGCAAACATGGGGGAAAGCAGTGCTGTATTTTTAAGGCAATATCTGTAGGGGAGACTGGAATTGGCTGGCACAATTTTCATTCTTCTCTAGTGGAACAAACATTATGACAACCCAACAAAGTCCAAATGAACGTGTAAAGAAATGGTTCATGTCATCGTTTATTCACCCTCACAGTTTTCCAAGCAAGTGTGATTTTCTTCTTTCTTCTGTGGAACATAAAAGGAAATGTTTGCTAGAGTGCGAACAGCGCACTTTTCCATACAATGAAAGTGAATGGTGACTGGGGTGGGAATCGGCAAAAATGTGACGATTCGATAGTATTGCGATATTTGGGCCACGATTCAATATTATTGCGATTCTTAACATACTGCGATACAGCAAGTATGGCGATTCGATTCTGCGATATATTGCGATTCATGTCCTCCATAATATTATTCAAAGGCATTACAAAAAATGAGCAAAATAAGACAGCCCAACTCACGTCAAATGTCACATTTAATTCTGTAAACATTATCTTCTACACATTAACTGAAGTGCAAAACTTCAGGACACAGGACAGGACGTAATTATTCTCAGAGTAGAAGACTTCTCACATAAATGGTGAGCTCCCAGCACATAACTTATAATTATTTAAATACAATAGAGTAACATAAAGGAGTAGGGGTGTAACGATACACATATTCGTATTGAACCGTTCGTTATGAGGCTTTCGGTTCGGTTTTCGGTACGCATTTTTGAACCGAACGGTTCGTTGGACCATTTTTCCTGCCAACCAAAATTTCGTTATTTCAAATGTAGGCGCGTCACGCGTGGCAAGCGCGCTCATAATGTAAGAGACGCTGGCGTGACCACAACATTGCCCAACATCAAATGGCAAATGTAATGTAAGCGGAACGAAACCACTCGTTATTGTGTGGTTAACGGACCGTTTATCAGTTTGGACCAATGCAGCGCGAGCCGATCTTAATCATCAGCACTGTTACTACACAGCGAAATCCAGTAAAGAAAGCATTTGAATTCGCCACTGAAGTAATAACATCGCTGCGAGATCTAGTGAGAAGCATTCACATTTCCCTGTTATTAATGGATCAAACAGCGCTGACGTGGAAACCAGGAAGAAACATTGTGCCATGAATGAACTATCCAGTGTCCACAGATCAGCAACATTCACCATGGGTTTACTGTAGTAACACTACTAACTATAACCATGGGAGTTTGGCAGGAATAGTAGGCTATAATGCTTTCAACTTCAAGTAACATCACGTCGGTTTTATTTTGACATTATGAATACAATTGCTGCCCTCAAATGTTAATCTGAACTAAAATAAACCTTTGTTTATAACTACTACAATATTACATTTCATTTTGACCAAGGAGCTGTGCTGTTTTATAAGCTCCTAAGAAAAGTCAAGTATAGCTCCATCTATCATTGCTCAAAGTAAAAAAATATCATACCGTACTTTATGACGTTAGTTTTAATAAAAATATAATTAAAAAAATTAAATCAAGGAAATTTCTCTGGCATTTCTTTCTTTTTGCTGTATCGGAAACGTACCGAATCGTACCGAACCGAACCGTGACACAAGTGTATCGTATCGAACCGAACCGTGAATTTTGTGAACCGTTACACACCTATAAAGGAGACATAATAGAGTGACATAAACCTGAGAATAATCCTAAAACCCAAATTTACCCACACTTTCGATTTGAAAGACGACGGAGCGTCGTGTAGCTACAACCGGTTGCAATTGACGACAACAAAGCACCGTAACAAGCGCCACCTTGTGGATAGAATACACAAATGTAAATTATCAGAAGTAAACTCTGAGAAAACCAATGGAGAAAACACAAAAGTAAAACAGATCATTTTATAATTAAATATTGGAATACTTTGCGCTACTGTATCGATATAAGTGTGTGCGCAAAATATCCAGATACTGAACAGAATCGTTTGCCCCCCCCCCCCCCCCCCCCTCGCGATGTAGACAAGTGTGTGTGGATATTAAACCACAAAGACAATTTAAATACGAATCCTGCTTGTTCTCTGTGAATGAATGGTGCCGCCGCCGACGCGCAGTTTCATTTACCACACACACACACACACACACACTGAAGCACGTGTGACGCTTGCGCTGTTTTTTTTGCCTATATGAAGACACAAATGCATAAACTTCCTCTCCAGGCTCTCGATCCACTCCGAAAGTCACTTCATTTGAGAAAAACTATCATTATGACATAAACACACAAACTCAAAAGTTCTTCACGGCAACCCGTCAAAATAAAAGTTCGGTTTAACTTGACAGAAATATATTACCGTTGTACAGTAGAATTTAGATATGTCCCAATGTAATAATACACTAACACTAATCCAAATTATCATCAAAACTGAAATTTAAGGAATAATCCATATTTTAATTTTAACAGTAAAGCTCATTGTGCAGCACGTTATTTGACAAAAAGTTTATTTAATTTCATATGATTAAAATTGATGATAAATGATAAAATTTGTGTTTTATGTCTTCATTTTATTACCAGAAAAAACACAACACAGAATTAGTGTGAATTTTTTTTCCATATTTAAAAAAAAAATGTATACGTTTAATGATTCATAATACACTATTTCAATTAATTAGACATGCTTTTTGATTGCTAAAAAATTTACACCACGTATCCGTAACACGGCCGCTCCGCAACACTAGCAGTCCCCCCCCCCCCCCCCCTGAAAAAAAATCCTAGGGGAAACACTGAATGATGTTTGGCATCGCTGCCGTCAAGCCTGCTGTGACACATCTCGATGTGTTGTGTTTAAATATACATCAATGAGATACGAGTACTGTGGCAGAGTATTAAAAAGGAATAATTTAAAATTATTCTGTTTCTCACACAAAGCTATTATCTGCTATTGTTGAATAAAATTAAATATCTCAAAACAATTATGTTGATTGATATAAAACTGACATAATAAAATGCAAGTATGAGATTAAAAACTTTGGTAACACTTACAATACGTTTTCATTTGTTAACATTTGTTACTGTATTTGTTCATCTTTGTTAACAGCTGTTCCTTGTTTGTTCATGTTAGTTCACAGTGCATTAATGTTAACAAATACAACATTTGATTTTAATAATGTATTAGTAAATGTTAAAATGAATATGAACAAAGATTAATAAATGCTGTAGAAGTGCAGTTTATGTTAACTAAAGTAGTAGCCTAATGAAACCTTATTGTAAACCAAAACTTTAACTTAAAACAAATGTAAGTGACAATTAGAAATATTGCTTGGTAAAAAACTAAAATATAATATAAGTTGAAGCTGAGTATCAAAATTACTAAAACTGAAATAAAAAAGGATTAAAGATAAATATTTACAAAATAAACCTAAAACAAATGATAAAAGAAACAAAAAACAACAATATTACTAAAACTCAAATGAAAAATGATAAATAAATAAAAAATATTAATAAAAAACAAAATAGTAAATAAATAATACTAATTGCATCTGACTTCAGGAGACTTTTAAGGAGCTTTTTTGTCATTTCTGAAACATGACAGCCCTTGTATGGAAAAGTTCAGCAATACTTTTCCTTTTTTCCCCCACAGAAAAAAAAAACTGAAAATCATACAGAGGTTTCATACACATCACAGGTTAGGAACTTCTTGAGGAGTGAATAGTTTTATTATTTAATAATTTTCACAACTATTTCATTTTTTAAGTGAACTATTACTTTAAAACAGACATATTGAAATATAACAAAAGCAAAATATGTTACTCTATAGCAAGTCACGTGCAACTGTCTAGTTGAAGGACCCCTAAAACAAGGATGGATGTCACAGTTGCAGTGTTAAAATGGTTTATTTTAAAAGGAAAGCAAATGGAAAAAGATTAAATGTTTATTAAATTACAGTAAAAACATTCTATAAATAAAATGTATTTTTTTAAATACAATGCTAATGAATATTTATAATGTTTTAGCACTTTTTCCATTAAATAGCCAATAAGGAGACTTCAGATATTTGTTGCTTCTCCAGTTGAATTTCTCTCCACATTAAAGACCAAAAATAATATTTAAAAACAGTGAATATTGTGCTAATGTGAATAGTCTTATATATTAGACATCATTTATAAATGATGTCAGACACACTTATCACTGGTTCCTATCTCCAACAAACAGTCATATTTTAAATATCACACATTATCTAAGATTTTTACCCGAGGGGGCTCATATTGGTTTTGAAATTGCAAATTTGAAAAGTTGTCTTGGGCTTGACAGGTTTTAATCTACTAATGTCATGATAGAATCAGTAAGTGTGGATGAAGAGGGCAAAAAAAAATCATATTTTTGTGACAGCATCCAATTATGAACATGAAATTAACCCTGTTCCAAACCAACTCCAGTCTCCCCGACTGTTCTTATATTCAATCCACATATGCACTGATGAAGGTTATTAAATATGTACATATTAAATATGTACATTCAATTTTTGGCTAGACAGTTCAGCTTTTGTCCAATTTGTCAATTTGATCAGATTTGCTTGACCAGTGTCTGGTTTCTTTTCTATAGGCCACTGCATGGCTCTTTGAAGTTCATTTTAACTTTTGTAGCAATTAGAAAAGAACATGACAAAGTGATATTGTGAATGTGATATAAACTGCAGTTACAAAAATTAATCACCATTTTTGAATGTGAATCAGTCAGAATCAAGACTTCAACG